AGTGGTGGGGAGCAAAAAAGAAAATAATAAAAATAAATAAGTAATTTTTTAAAAAAAGATTTTATTTATTTATTTATTTATTTATTTATTTATTTATTTATTAGAGAGGGAAGGGAGGGAGAAAGAGAGAGAGAGAGAAACATCAATGTGCGGTTGCTGGGGGTTGTGGTCTGCAACCCTGGCATGTGCCCTGACTGGGAATCGAACCTGCGACACTTTGATTCGCAGCCCACGCTCAATCCACTGAGCTACGCCAGCCAGGAAATAAGTAATTTTTTAAAAAAAAGATTTCATTTATCCCTGGCCAGGTCTCCAGTATGGGGTGCATGAGAGGCAACCACACATTGATATTTCTCTCCTCTTTCTCCTTCTCTTTCCCTCTCTCTAAAAATGAATAAATAAAATCTTTAAAAAAATAAAAGATTTCATTTATTTAGGGAAGGAAGGGAGAAAGAGAGGGAGAGAAACATTGAATGTGAGAGAGAAACATCAATTGCCTTTTGTATGAACTCCAACTGGGACTGAACCCACAACCCAGGCATGTGCCCTGACTAGGAAATGAACCAGCAACCTTCCACTTTGTGGGACAATGTCCACCCCACTGAGCCATGCCAGTCAGGGCAAGTAGTGATACATTTTAAAACAGTACAATTAAAACTAATTTAAGACTTCTGGCCAAGATGGAGGCATAGGTAGATACACTCTGCCTCCTCACACAACCAAGATAGGGACAACAGTAATTTAGAAACAGAATGGCAACCAGAACTGACAGAAAATTGAACTGTATGGAAGTCAGACAACCAAGAAGTTAAAATAGACACATTCATCCAGACCGGTAGGAGGGGCAGAGTCGGCCAGCTGGGCATGGATTGAGGAGCGGAGAGCAGAGAGCATTGAAACTGGGTGCGTAAGGCATCCAGGGCATGCAAGACCGCAGCCAGTGGGCCCTGAGCGTGCAAACAGCAGCTGGAAGACTCTGGCTGAGGGATGGCAACCGGCAGACCCAGTGAGGTGGCGATTGTGAAGCAAGATACTGCATGCAACTCAGGATCTCGGCGCTGGGACATAGAGCCCTGGGGCACTGACTGAAAACACCTGTGGGGGTTGAGGCACAGGGAGATACACCCAGCCTCACAGGAGCGGTCCTTGGATAGTCCCACGGGGTGCACAAGCCCACCCACATGGGAATTGGCACCAGAGGGGCCCAGTTTGCTTGGGGGAAGTGGCAGAAGGGACTGGAGTCTGATGGATAGTGGAGCAAGCAGCATTGTTCCCTCTCAGACCCCGTCCCTACATACAGCATCACAACCCAGTGACTGGGGTGCCCTGGTCTGGTGAACACCTAAAGCTCCGTCCCTCACTAGTAACAGGCACAATCAGACCAAAGGGGGGGAGGGGAGATGGTTCAAACAGAATTGAAAGCCCCAGAATCAGTACTTTTAAGAGACCGAGAGATAGCCAGCCTATCAGATGCACAGTTCAAAACACTGATGATCAGAATGCTCACAGAATTGGTTGATTTTCGTCTCAAATTAGATGAAAAAATGAAGGCTATGCTAAGTGAAATGAAGGAAAATGCACAGGGAACCAATAGTGATGGGAAGGAAACTGGGACTCAAATCAATGGAGTGGACCAAAAGGAAGAAAGAAACAATCAGACAGAAAATAATGCAGAAACAAGAATTCAAACAAATGAGGAGAGGCTTAGGAACCTCCAGGACATCTTTAAACGTTCCAACATCCGAATTCTAGGGGTACCAGAAGGAGAAGAGGAAGAGAAACAAGTGGAAAAGTTATTTGAACAAATCATAAAGGAGAACTTCCCCAATCTGGCAAAGGAAATAGGCTTACAGGAAGTCCAGGAGGCTCAGAGAGTCCCAAAGAAGTGGGACCCAAGAAGGAACAGACCAAAGCACATCATAATTACATTAGTCAAGGTAAAAATGAAGGAGAGAATCCTAGAAGCATCAAGAGACAAGGAGACAGTCACCTACAAAGGAGTTCCCATCAGACTGTCAGCTGATTTCTCAAAAGAGATCTTACAGGCAAGAAGGGGCTGGAAAGAAGTATTCCAAGTCATGAAAGGCAAGGACCTACATCCAAGATTACTCTATTCAGCAAAGTTATCATTTAGAATGGAAGGGCAGATAAAGTGCTTCTCAGATAAGGTCAAGTTCAAGGAGTTCATCATCACCAAGCCCCTATTATATGAAATGTTAAAGGGATTTATCTAAGAAAAAGAAGATTAAAAACGTGTACAGTAAAACGACAGCAAACTCACAATTACTAACAACCACACCTAAAACAAAAACAAAAAGAACCTAAGCAAACAACTAGAACAGGAACAGAACCACACAAATGGAGATCACATGGAGGGTTAGCAACAGGGGAGTGGGAGGAGGAGAGAAGGGAAAAAGGTACAGAGAATAAGTAGCATAGGTAGAAAATAGACAGGGGGAGGGCAAGAATAGCATGGGAAATGTAGAAGCTAAAGGACTTACGACACATGGACATGACTAAAGAGGGAGATGAGGGTGGGAGAGGGTGTGCAGGGTGGAGGGGAATTAAGGGGGGGTAATGGGACAACTATAATAGCATAATAAATAAAATATATTTCAAAAGATAAAGTCATAAAACTTAGGAACATTCACAAAATGGACATTAAAATATCTTCACTTGTTTTCTGTACCAGTTGGTCACGGAAATGTTGCACTGCGTGTATTCATCAGTAGTTGACGGAAGTTAATGTCATGTTTCTTATTTTTAACTTTTTTATAAGAGTTTTATTGCTGCTTAATTGACATCTAAATTATATTATTTTAGGTGCACAACATAATGATTTGATATCTGTATATATTGTGGAATGATCACAATAAGTCTAAGGTTTTTTTTTACAACTTTTGACATTCCTAAAAAAATAATAAATAATTTAAATGTTTCACATTAATGACAAATCAGGATGATTGTTTTTCTGTTTCTAACAGTTTTTCCCATTGCTGTACAACCAATGCATAGAATAGTGCCTGGCACATAGCTGGCTCTCAAAAGATATTTGCTGAATATTTATTTATTTTTTTATCCTCACCAGAGAATTTTTCTTCCTTCCTTCCTCCTTCCTTTTTTTCTCCCTCCCTCCCTCCTTCCCTCCCTCCCTTCCTTCTCTCTCTCTCTTTCTCTTTGTCTTTGTCTTTTGGAGACAGAGAAAGGGAGAGAGGAAGGGAAAGAAACACCGATGTGAGAGAAAAGTATGGATTTGTTGCTCCCCATATGCGTGAGGACCCAGATGGTGGCACCTGGACTGGGCGGAACTGCAACCTGGGCACATGGCCTAACCAGGAACCAAACCCCCAACCTTTGGGTTATGGGAGGATGCTCCAAAGAACTCACACTGGCCAGGGCTAGCTGCATTATTTAAATGCTAGTAAAATGAAATACTCAAATAGATAAATATTTACTGAGTGAATAAGTGGGAAGGATAACTTTGTTTCCAAATCATGGAGCCCAGCCCAGCCAAAGGTGTGAATGCTCCGGGTTTCTCTGCAGCCCCTGTGGTGCAGGTCTCCCCCCCCCCCATACCCCCTCCACTGACTAACCTGAGCTGCAAGCCCAGGGTGAAGGTGCTGGTGTTGCGGGAAGCGGAAGCCAGTGGGTTAACTTCATTTTAGCACCAGTGGCCCGCTGCCTCCAGGCAGAGGGTCTGCAAAGAGAGCAGGAGGAAGAGGAAGCCAGAAGCCGGGCAGAACCTCCTGGGTGGAGATCTGCATAGGACTCTCCGCAATGCTGGGGACCAGAGGGAGTCCAAGTCCTGTCCTCTTTCAGCCACATATTTCATTCGGAATTGGGAGTGGGGACCATGCTATGCCCAGTAGAAGGTCACTCCCAAGATGCCCCTTCTGGAGAAGGGGATGGAGGTATAAATCTCAACAGAGCATCCAGTGCTATAATTTGGAGAAAACACAGCAAGGAGCCCAAAGACAGGGACTCACACTTGAGGTGGGCCTTACCCCAGAGTCCTGTTTTAGTGGAAGAAAGGGCAGACAGGTAACCACACCAACTTGAGTCCAGAGTCTGGGAAGTGAATCAGTGAGCCTAGAGGGAGAAACTGGCTGATGTGGGTGGGGGTCTTGTTCCCTGCTGGAGAAGAGGTTGTGCATGCCTCTCTGGATCTGCCTTGACCACATACGAGCTCCTCAGCAATGGGATGTCAAGGTGTTCGATAGGACTAGGGTTTTAAGGTCCGGATTCTCTTTACTAAATGCTATTCTTATTAAATGATCAAATGCAGCACATTGTTTTGCAGACCAGCTGTAAACAGGATGAGTTTGACAGGAACTCAACAGGATTAAATGTAGCCAACTGCAAAGAAGAAAGCAAGTATAATTGACCAAATAGTGTATTTAACCATTTGTTAAGCCTCATTCTGGAGACAGAGCTTTGAAAACAAATCCTATCTCCTTTACCTGCTTCAAGTAAATAAAACATCGTCGTCCAACAGAACACCCCCAAGTGGTGAGTGCCTTGAGTTTGGTAACAAAGGGACACTCCAGGCTGTTTGTTCAAGGTCAGGGAACCGACTGAACAGCTGTAAATTCCCTGTAGCTGCTCCTTCCATTCTTCATTGATTCATTCCACAAGCATTCACTGAGCATCATCTGGTGTTGTGCTAGGTACCAGACGAAGGAAAATTAGATAGGGCCCTGCCCTTGAGGGGTTCACAGCCTACCTTGAAAGATATATAAACAATTCATTACAATACTATATCATAATATAGTAGTAATAGCCCTATTTATTGTTTATTCTGTGCTGGGTACTTCATAACATCATCTTAGAGTCACACCACCTGGACAACCTGGTGCTGGCATCCCCTTTTTTAACAAGTAGAGAAATTGAGGCTCAGAGAGATTAGTTAGTTCAAGGTCCTCCATGTTGCTGGGGCAGAGCTAGGAGTCAAATCCAGATTTGTTTGGCTCCCAAACCATAACCTTTCTATTCTCCCACAGGCTCCTACCTAAGGAGACTAAGCCTGGGTAGGGCAGAAGGAAGGAGTGATCCTGAGGGAAGATTCCACTGGGGCTGAGAAGACTTGGGGAAGGTCCCGGGGAAGGCGCGGAGGCATCAGAAGCCAGGTGCCCTGTGTTCCAGGAACGGCGAAGAGCCTCACCTATCTAGGGACGGACTGGACCCTGGTTTCCATGGCAGTGGGCTCACCCAGACCCGTGGAACCCTCCCCACCCCCTTGCAGCTGGCACAGTGGGGCAGCACACTTTTCTTTCTCCCTGAGAGGTGAGCCAGCTGTTTCCTGTTTCCTGACTCCTCACTCTCTCCGCTGGACTCTCTGTTGCCCCAGAGCCACCAAGGGACTCATTTATCCTCACGATTTCTTTCCATTCTGAAGTGGTTTCCTCTTTAGATGCTAGTATTGTTAGATCTAGGCATGTCTAGGAGGAATGAGAATCACCAGGCGAGAACATGGCACTGTGGGAAGCTGCCTGCAGACCCTACCCAGGAAGATTAGGGTCTGGGGTCGGCCTATCAGGCATAACAGGAGGCAGCTTTCACCCAGCAACCAGGTCTAGCCAATCAGACTCTGATACCCCAACTGCAGGTTTTTGCATTTAAAAACCCTGATCTAGGAACAACGGAGTGAGTCCCAACCTCCCTTGGTTGGCCCCCCTTTTCTCTTAACCTCCCTGGGTTGGCTCCACTTTCCCTCTTGTTCCCCACTAATAAACCCTGCTCTCCTTAGCTCGCTGCGTCTGTCCGGTTTCTTGAGTGATTCTGACCTAATAGCTATATGTGCTGCAAGAAATAGACATCGTTCCTGAGGATTTTCAATCACACTACATCTCGTGGCATGGCACATCATAAGCATCCTCTAAGACTGGGGGGAAGCTGTGGGAGATTTAAGCCATTGCTACTTTATTCTGAAACTCATCACTAGGATTTAAAGGTCTGGGGCCCGTGACTCATGCAGCAACATGTAAACTGCTCGAAATATGTTTTCCTCCAACACTTCTGCTGACTAGTCTTCATCATTCTCATTTGTTCTGACAGTAGGTTTGTGAACAATGGTTTCAATAAATCTTGGCATTTACTGCTCAAAAGCGTTCCTCTGCTCCTTCCCTCATGATGGCAGAGAACACGGGCACCAGTACGCTACGCTGCACTTTTCACTCTCAGTTTTGTTTGCATCTGATTTCTTTCAGGGCGAGTTGCATTTCCTTTAGCCTGTGAGCTAGTTGCTAAAACATCTCCTGTTAGTAAAGAAGAAAAGAAAGAATTTCCTCGGCCCCTGTTCCTCTCCATCTATGGCCCCATTTCTCTGTTTCTTCATGGAGCAGAACAACTCAGCAGATAGGATTATGTTCACTATTTCCGCTCCTCTGTTGAACCTCCTTGTATGTGGCTTTTATAACAGCCAGTCAACTGTGACAGTTTGTGTCAAGGTCCCCAGACCCACTTCTTTGTCATAGTCAATGGACAGTTCTCAGTTTTCTCTGAGTGCCTGGTCTTTCCCTTCCAGAAATGCGTGTTTCACACAGGCTTCTGTGACCCCACCTGTAGGACGGTGCAGCCAGGGGGCCCCCAAAAGAAGGATTTGTAATGGGGTCCAGAACTCAAGGTGTCCAGCAAATATTAGAAAGATATATAGGATGTCCTCACCCTCCAACACAGGTGTGAGTTGGGGGAAGGAACATATGGAGCAGGGTCATTGAGAGCTGTTTTGCACAGCAACAGCTTTGCAGCCAACCTCTGGTGTAGTCATTTGGCACATCTATAACCTTTAACTGGTTGCATTGATATGTTAAATAGCTGTGGCCATGCTCTGAACCAGGGGGATGGAAGGAACTTCCCCCCAAGATGTAACTGGGAGGCAACTCCCCCTAGTTACAGTGCCTGCATGAGAGCTTGGAGATGATTGGCTCCATGACATGGGGCCAGGCCTGCCCAGACTCATGGATGGCAGCCCAGTAAAGCTGGAAGGATATTTAAACCCAGACTCGGCAGCCATTGGAGAGAGGACCATGTGGTTTTGGCTGAGTGAAGACTCCTGCAGTCATTGAAGAGAGGGAGCCACGCGGCTGTGGCAGTGGAAAAAGAAGCACGCAGCTGCAGCCATGTAAGTGTCACAGGTGGGCACAGGTAACCAGGTTCTAGGTGATCGGTATAAAGTATTAAACCGAACACCCAGAGTTTATAGCAGAGAACATGGGAGCAGGCCAATTCCAAGCAGAGATTGACCTCATGGGCTGGAGGGACTCTATTCTTATAGGGCAGATCCTTCCTGGCTAGTTTTGGTGGGCTTTCACTGCACATGTGCAAGTAGTTGTATTACTTTAAAGCTACTGCACAAGTGGCCTCCCATGATTTTCCTTGATTAACCACCAGGGAAGAGGGTCCCACAATGCTACTGAATTGACCCCCGTTTCTCCTGGGGTCCCCCTGTACTAGGTTCACCTTTCCTTTCACCAGAGAATTATGGCTCTCCATGTTAGAGATTGGTGGAAAGGAAAGGGGTTATTGATTCAAGTTATACAGACTTAAGAGTAATGACTTAATGTCTTCATCAAAATCCCAAAGTCCCTTAAAACACCCACAAACACACACAGCCCTTCCTTCCCCCTTTGCCCAGTCTGGGGTACCGTATCTCAGGAAAATAGAAGTTCATGGCTCAGGCAGTCCCCAGTTCTTCCCAGTAATCCGTGCTTGGCTGGTAGGCCTCCCTCAGTTCCCGGCACCGTCAGCTGTGTTGCTGGGATCTCCAGCTAAAGCCACATGGTGGTTCTTCTCATGGCTGGGGGGTGGGGGGGTCCCCCCACTCTGGCCAAAGCCACGTGGTTCTCCTCACTGCTACAGCCGCATGGTCCTCTCCTTATGTAGGAGGGTGCAGCCAGGGGGCCCCCAAAAGAAGGATTTGTAATGGGGTCCAGAACTCAAGGTGTCCAGGAAATGTTAGAAAGATATATAGGATGTCTGATATAAGATACATATACTGTGTGGCCATGCATTCAAAATGACTGAGAGACTAGAGCAATGAATCTGCATCAAATTTTGCATTAAGCTTGAATATTCCTTTGTGGAAACTTGGGATGATTCAGAAGGCTGCAGCCATGGGCAACTGGTGATTGGCAGCTTCATCACAACAATGTGCCTGATCATGCATCACATCTCGTGCAGAGTTTTTTGGCAAAACATCAAATCACCCAGGTGACTCAGCTCCCCCACAACCCAGATTTAGCACCCTGTGACTTCTGGCTTTTCCCAAAACTAAAATCGCCTTGAAAGGGAAGCGGTGTCAGACCATCGATGAGATTCAGGAAAATACAACAGGGCAGCTGATGAAGATTGGGAGAACTGCGTGAGGTGTCAAGGTGCCTACTTTGAAGGAGACTGAGGCATTACTGTCCTATGTACAATGTTTCTTGTATCTTCTTTAATAAATGTTGCTATTTTTCATATTACATGGCTGGTGACCTTCTGGACAGACCTCGTATATCCTGAAATGGAGCTCCTAGCTGCCTGGGCCTGCCCCACTCTTAGTGCGACCAGCTCGGCGATGCCACACCATTCCACCAGTGGCTCGGGTGTGAACCTGGGCACCATCCTTGACCCCTGTATTAGTCAGTCAGCTTGGGCTGCTATAACAAAACATCATAGATGGGGTGGCTTAAACAAGAGAAATTTATTTACTCATTATTTTGGAGGCTGGAAGTGCCAGCGTGGTTGGGTTCTGGTGAGAGGTCTCTCCCTGGCTGCAGATGGCTTGCAGATGCTGTGTCATATGGCAGAGAGTCAGGAAGCTCTCTGGTGCCTCTTCTTAGAAAGGGACTAATCCCACCATGAAGGCACCACCCTCACGACCTCATCTAAGCCTAATTATCTCTTAAAGGCCGCATTCCCAAATACCATCACATTGCGTGGTAGGGCTTCAGCGTATGAGTCTGAGGAGGACACAGTTCAGTCTATCACGGTTCCTTTCTCTCTCACCCTCTTACCTAAACCCTCAGTAAATCCTGCTGCTTCTACCATTTGAGTATACCCAGAACCTGACTGCCTCTCACTTTCTCTACTGTGACCACTACCACAGTTCTTGCGTGGGTTGTTCCAGCGGGCTCCAGACTGGCTGCCTGCTTCCACTTACCCCCTACAGCCCATGCTCCCCAGGCAGCCAGAGGGATCCTTTAAAGCAGTGAATCAGATAACATTATTCCTCTGCTTTTGACCCCTCACTTGCACACCATAATCCTTACAATAAAGTCCAAACTCCTTACCAGGGCTTTAAGTCCTATGTGTGCTCACCTCACTCTAGCCAGACTGCCCTCTCCCCACTCAGCGTCAGCTTATTGCTGTTTCCTCTGCCTCAGAGTCTGTGAGACACCCCCTCCCCCGCCCCCGCCCCCGCCCCCGCCACCATCTCTCCTGTGGCTTTCCCTAGCAACATGGTCCAACTGCAGCCCTGCCACTCCGTCCTCTCACCCAGCTTTGTTTTCTATAAGCCTTTTAATGACATATTATGTATCTATTGGTGTGTTTATCGTGTGTTTCCCACACTAGTGGCTCTCTGAGTGCAAGGACAATGTCTATTTGTCCACTGCTGTGTTCTCACAGGATTGAAATTAGGGCCTGCTTGACCTTGCATGGATGGCTCAATAAATAGCTATGAAACGAATGGCTGAATAGGCAGGACTTTGCCTAAAATACTAGGATCTCATGTTCTTCTGTGTCTCAGGAGCTGGCAGGGCTGCAGAGGGGAGACCCTGAGCAGACAGTCCATGTCCCTCAATGAGCGCTAGAGGGAGCCAAGTTCTCCTACGTTCACAGTCTAGTCTGATCCCTTTCTGCACCCAGGATCTACTTAGAGCCAGCTCCTCTGGTCAGACCTAAGGGCCCATCTCCCCACCTTCACCCCAGCTCCTTCCGCCCTGCTGTGCTGGGTCCCTCACAAGGCCCTGGGCAGAAAAGATATGCTTTCTACCTTCACAGTTGTTCTGTCCTTGGTCATATGTGAAAAACATTTCTGCCCAGCTGCTCCATTTCCAGAGAAAAGAAGTGTTCATCAAAAAGTGTCACTTATGGCCCTGGCTGGTATGGCTCAGTGGACTGAGTGCCAGCCTGTGAACCAAAGTGTTGCTGGTTCGATTCCCAGTTCGACTGAGGCACATGCCTGGGTTGCAGGCTCCGCCCAGTGCTGCACACACAAGAGGCAACCACACGTTGATGTTTCTCTCCCTCTCGTTCTTCCTCCCTTCCCCTCTCTTTAAAAACAAATAAATAAAATCCTTTTTTAAGGTTTATTTATTTATTTTTAGAGAGGGAAGGGAGGGAGAAAGAGAGAGAGAGAGAAACATGAATGTGCAGTTGGTGGGGGCCATGGCCTGCAACCCTGGCATGTGCCCTGGCTGGGAATCAAACCTGCGACACTTTGGTTCGCAGCCCACACTCAATCCACTGAGCTACACCAGCCAGGGCAAATAAAATCTTTTTTAAAAGTGTCACTTATGTTTCAGGAAGGCAGAAAGGGAGCAGCAGTCCCACCCCAGGGTACCTGGATGAAGCTTCTGGCAGAGGAAAGCAGCAGGACGCGAGGCAGCCTTCCTGGCCCGTCTGGGACACAGTGCGGTTTCGGCTGGCTCAGTGGTGGTGGCCGAATCCTCTGGAGAGCTGAGGGCAAGGAGCCGGGGTGGGCATGTGGCTTCCCATTTGCCCGCTCCCTCTGACCGCAGTCCCATCCATGGGGCCCATTCCTAGAAGCAAGCCCGCCACACCTGGGGTTCCCTCCTGGCCTTTTCCCTGAAGAGGCCCAGTAAGGCACTTGAGAGTTAACTGAGCACACTTCATTTTATTTCCAAAACTACGGTCTGAGGGCCAGTCTTCCCATGTCTCTAGCAGTTAACGAAAGTTCTCCTAAGGCCAGTGGCAGGAGAACTAGAAGGGAAAGAAAGAGATAGCCATAGAAGTTATTTACAAATGTCCTCATTATATTCGTGAGCTTCACTGCTGGAGATACACTGCGTGTCATGGGCTTTGTGGACATTAACCCTAGCAACAGCCCCTCGGGGTAAGCACCACTTTTATGTCCATGCAGCACTGGTTCAAAGAGTGGTAAGGAACGTGTCCAAAACCTTTTGGGGCAGAGCTGCAACTGTGACCTGCTGCCCTCTCATTTTAAGGCCATGCTCTTACCTTCTGCATTTTGCTCTGTTTCAAAATTTTACTGGCCAGGAATTGACCACTGACCCCCCAACAGAACAGGCAAGAATTGTACCATGGAAGCAGGGTGCTGTCAGTCTTCAGGACCTGAGGCTGCATCTCATCTGCTCTGTTATCCTGAGAGCGGAGTGCGGCTCCATTTCATTTGCTTGTGGCAGACAGAGCACGGAGGACACTCCCCCTGAATCTGGCACAACCCCTGGCGTGCAGCAGGAGTGCAAATAAAATATGATCAGTGAACGGGAAAACTTTTTGGTTTGCAATCATTGCCATCTGACAAACCTTTTTTTCAAGGTGCTGTCATTTTTATTTACATAAGTAAACTGATTTTGACAATCTTTTACGTGGAGGCTAATATGGTGAACCCCTGGGGGGGACGCCATATTTAATTTTCACTGTGCCATGTATACACATACAATAATATTTTGCATAGTGCCACAGTGGCCATGGTTTTTCAGGAGAAATTGAGATCTGGGGTTTGCCCACTCCCAGAAAATGGGCAGAGCCTCCTTCTTATTTTCACACCAGGGTGTCAGACAAAACGGAATCCACCTTCTCCATCCCAGTTGTGAAATTAGGCCAGGTCTCAATGTAAGCACCACTTCCTCTGAGAAGCCTTCCCAAACCACCCCCATCGTGGGCTAAGGGCCCACGGGATCTGCCTCCCCCATTACAGTCCTCTGCAGAGAGATTGCCTGCCTATTCATCTGCATCCCTGCCCCCTGAGATGAAGACCCACCTACCCAGGACTGGGGCTTTATCTTGTTTCATTGGATTTCCAGCACCTGGCACAGTGCCTGGCACAGAGTGATGGTCAATACATGCATGTTTGTTGAAGGAAGGCTCTGCCTTTCCCAAATCTCCTCTGTTCAAGAGCTGTTATATCACTGGAGCTACTGGTCTGATGGCCCTTGTTGAATGAGCTATTCCTAAGTCCATGTCCCATGCTGCTCACCCCCTCTATTTGATGACAGGAAAACGCATTGAGACTGTGTCTGCTCCCTCCATCTGTCCTTGTCTTCAGAGTCATGTGCCCCTAGTGTGTTCCAGTTAGTGACCCATTTGTCCTGTCTGCTCAGCCAATCAGAACAGTAATAATCACAACATGTGTTGAATGCTTACAAAACGCCAGCACTCTTACATCAATTATTTGGAATCCTCATAACAATTCCACAGTGGGAATATTATTACTCCTGTGGATAAGGAAACAGACTCAGAGGTCTCAATAGCTTCTAGTCATCCAGTAAAAATGTGGTAAATGAATGAATGAATGAATGAATGAATGAACGAACGAACAAACAAACAAATGTCTTAACAACTCTGGTGCTTTGCTATTTTTCTCTTTTGTTTCCCACAACACTGGAGATAGTTCATTGGAGCTAAAGGAGCTAAGTGGCTTTGCAGATTTCTAAACCAAAAAAGCAGGGAGTAGTGAGGAGGTGACCCTGACAAAGGGCAGCTCTAAGCAACCTTGAGTTACTCAGTAACCTGAGCCCCGGTCCCCATGGGTGGCCGGGCCAGGCTGGGCCATGGCAGGCAGCAGACACTGGTTCCCCTTGGCTACCCTTCAGGTGCCCAGCTGGTCACAGCTGGAAACTGGAGATAGAAGGTCAAAGATTGGACAAACCCCAGGCCAGGCAGGGTGAAAGCTGGGGGCAGAGTGAGGGGCCCCTCAGAGGAGGGCTGAGATGAAGGAAGGAGTAAGATGAGGCCCCCAATTCCATTAGAGCTTCCAGGGCCAGAGGAGGCAGGAGGGGGCCCCTAGAGCCTGACATCACTGGGTGAGCCAAGGGAAAACCACGGACTGGGCCTCTCATATTAGGTGGTGGGCCAGGGGAGCCCTCACAGGCGGAGGCCTGCCAGGGGAGCCCACAGAGGGGTAGGTGGGCCTGGGGACCCTCAGAAGGGAAGCATCATCAGGGTCTTGCTGTCTGTTGGACCAAAGGGTGGTACTAGCTGCTACTCACTAGTTGTTAAAATATCAAGATCTTGCCATACAAGTTGGTGAAGAGCCGTTAGCCAGAGGTCTCCAAGTGCACCCTCCAGAGGCCAGCCCAGCTGTCCTGGGCTTTCCAAGGGCTCCCTTTAGACCTCTCCACAATCCACCAGGTAAAACATTAACATCTACCAGGACAGAGGGGCCTCCAGGACCCAACCCTGTTCCTGATGTTGACTAGAACCCCAAAAGCTGGCCTAGGATTGGCACTGGATGAATTGTTGATTGAATGGATGGGAAACAGAGGAGAGGGAAAATCAGAGATCCTGAGGAACTTAGACTAAGAGAGTCAACAGGTAAGACAGAGGTGGAGGAGGCTGGAATCAAAGAGAAAACTCCCAGGGATGCTGGGAAGGTCCAGCTGCCCGGGCCTTGCTCCCTCTGGTTCTACAGCTCTTGAAGGCTCTTCCCCTCGCAGGGCCTACCCAGACCCTGCCTGGGCAACCCAGAGCAACGCGCATGCCCAAACCAGGCTCCGAAAGCAGGATGTGTCTCTGGAGCAGGAAAGCTGACACACCAGGAGGATACCCAGATGCTGAATTATACAAGAATTATTATCCACAGACTGTTGACCAGACGTTTACTTTCCACACCACTCCACAGAAGGAACTAGAAAACAGTCTTCCTGCTGACCAACTAGGGAGCCTCTGGGCCAGGGGCCAGGGGCCACTGAGGGCCAGAGAGCCTGACTGGCCTGCTGAGAGCAGTGCTACCAGAAGCTGCTACCCAGAGGCTGACCCCACCCCCTTTCCATCCCCAACTGGCTGGGCACTCAGGTCAGGAAGTTGGACACCTAGAATGCAACTGTCTTCCGGCCCACACTGGCCTGGAGGCTCAAGCCCACGGGGAGCGCGGAAGAGGAGGTGAACTCAGAAAGGACAGAAGGGGAAGCAAGGAGGGGGATCAGGGTCTTCACTGTCACCTCTATCCTTAACCATTCCTGAGAAGAGGCAAGTTCTTTCCTAGGAGGACCCCGACTCTGCATCTGCTCTGGGAAGTGGCTGGCCCCTGTGAACCTGGCCCACATCTTCTGGCAATGGCAATTCTTCCTGCAGGCAGGGGTCTTGAACATCTTTGCAAATGCCTGCAAGCCCTTCCACCATGACAGCCCCCTCAGACAGTGGGGTGGCATTGCAGACAGAGGGCCTCCCTCCCCACAGCCCCTCTGAGACTGGCCTTCAGCTTTTCTTCTTGGAAGGCCCTCGCGGCCTGTAGGTGTCAGAACCCATGGTGCCAGGCTGCCCACCTGTTCGGAGCCCTCCAGTGGCCCAGGGCCCTCGGGTTAGAGGCCGTGTGCCTTAGCAGGGCCTGCAGGGCCTTTCCAGACGCCCTGCCCCCGGCCTCAGGTCCTGAACACACGGGACACTCGCACAGCCAGATTCTGTCTGTGCTGGGCCTTTTCTCGAAACGTCCCTCTTCTTTCTTCCCTTGGCCGGTTTCAGGGTTGTCCTTCTAGACTGCCTGCAGACACCACCTCACAGGAAGCAGTTCTGCAGCTCAGTGCCCTCCCTCATCCCCACTCCTGCGGGTTCTGCAGCCTCTCCTTCTGGGTCCCCACGGCCTCTGTGCTTTCCAGGGTCACACATTGACCCCAGTGGCAACTAATTTCCGTCCTAAGTGTCTGTCTCCCAACTGGGTCAGGCTTCTGGGGGGAGGGGTCCTCTGGTTCATCTCTGAAGACTAGCTCACAGTGTCTCCTCACTGTCTACCAGGTCCCCAGGGGATGCAAACCTTGCTTGTGCAACAAGGGACTCTGGACTCCTAAGTAAGAAGACCCTCTCTCCATCTGACTTGCCTTCTTTACAGCTGCTGAGGCAGCCCCAACCCTCTCATGCTCACAGCGGGCTGCGCAGTGAAGCCAGGTGTCAGTGTGGCCCCTCCCAGCCTGCCGCACCGTGGTGGGGTGCAGAATGGGGATGGGAGAAGGAGGAGGGTAGGATGGGGTAAGCAACCGGACTGCTGAGGCTCAGACCTCCCCAGTTGGGTTAATCATCAATGCCTGGAGAGCCCTCTCTTTACTTCCATTCTCCATCATGATTTTTCAGTCTGGAAAACATCGAGTAACCCCTCAACTCTCTCTTGTGTTGATCCTGGAGGGGCCGGGCCAGGGCCTCTAAGGGCCGCGCATTCCTTGGGCAACACTAACACATTCTTGTTTCGTTTTGTTTTTGAAGGGACAGGTCCCCTCCCTGCCTTTCCCCCACTGGGTCCACAGTTGAGTCTCCAGCAGGCAGAATACGAGTGCTTTCCCAGGGTCATTTCCAAGGAGTGAGGCCAACCAGAACAGCGCCAGGGTCAGCGGGGCAAAGGGAGACAGGATCTGGGGTTCAGATCGCCCCCATCCCTCCCAGCCCTTGCGCTAGCTTAGGCCTGGGGTTCAGGGCCCCGCCGCCCGTCCTCCTCCCCGGGAGGAGCCAGGTGAGGCACAAGGCTAAGTCTCCTCGTGGGAGAGGCCTCCACGTGGGCGGACTCCTCGGTGGGCGGGGTCTGGCTCCAGTGAAACCTGTCCCGCCGGCCCGGGAGTGCCTGTTGGCGCCCCGCGCCCAGAGCCTGAGCCAGAGGCGGAGACTCGTAGCCTCGGTCCCATGGCAGGGTCCCCGCGCCGCGCCGCGGGCCGGCGACTGCCGCTCTCCGTGCTGTGCCTCCTCCTCCAGGGCGCCACCGCCATCCTCTTCGCTGTTTTTGTCCGCTACAACGACGAAACCGACGCTGCCCTCTGGCACGGGGGCAACCACAGTAGCGCGGACAATGAATTTTACTTTCGCTACCCAAGTGAGTTCGGGTGAGGGAGCGCGGGGAGCAAGGGCACCAAAGAGGGGACATTTGGGTGCCCAGATCTACCCCCGGGTGGGTAGTAACCCTATCGCTCTGAGATAAATGTGCCCCAGATTTATAATAACACCCTTCCACTAATGTCTGCCACACTCCAGGTATTATGCTGAGGGCAGCATGCACATTACCTCATTTAGTG